GGTAGTGATGGTGGTAGAGGATGGTAGTGATGGTGCTAGAGGGTGCTAGCAGTTGTGATAGTGGTAGACGGTGGTAGTGATGGTGGTAGAAGGTGGTAGTGATGGTGGTAACAGTTGTGATAGTGGTAGAAGGTGGTAGTGATGGTGGTAGAGGGTGGCAGTGGTTGTGATGGTGGTAGAGGGTGCCCTCTTGAGTGATTCAGTGATTCTACCAACTCCTCCAATGTTGTTGGAGTTATGGAGGGTTACAGAAAACACCGCCGCCTCAGCTGCTGCTTCACCATTATGGATGGCTTACTCTCAGTGGCCCTTATACACCGAACAACAGCACAACACAACACCTCTCGTGACATACATAATGACTTATTTTATTCATTCTAGAGTATATTCCATGTTTCTATGTTATTAAAATTGTTTGTCATATTAGTTGAATTGTGATAGATAAATAAGCCATAGAGTTGATATCAGTGTCATATTTGCCAACAATAAACTTGCCTCCCCTCCCTCTGCCATACACCAACAAGTCTTCAATAAAAGGTAAGTGTGATGTTAATAAATGTTCAGTTATACATTTTATTAGTGCTTTACATTTATTTGGCATTCTTTTCTGCATGTAAATCTATATTTAAGGTAGGGAAGTGACCCCTGAAGTGACCTACAGTCCTTATGGAGGGGGATTTCCCTTCCAAACAATAACCTCTCTTCCCTCTCTCCTCCTCCCTGTCTTCCATTCATCAGCAACAGCCTTCAATAAAGGTAACTGTCATATTTAATGTTCATTCTTTTGTGCATGTAAATCTATCTTTCTTTAAGGTAAAAAAAAAAAATTATTGTTGATATTTCTTATGGGGAAAATGGATTCGAAAATTGTTAATTTCGATAATAGTCACATTTCCAGGAACGAATTAATTGCGAAAAACAAGGGACCACTGTATATAAGCATAGACACATCTAGGGTTTTTCTTTTTCTTAATAGCTCTTGTTCTTGTTTGTTTTTCTCTCTATTGTCCTTGGGGAAGTGGAAAAGAATCCTCCGTAAGCCATGCATGTCGTATGAGGCGACTAAAATGCCGGGAGCAATGGGCTAGTAACCCCTCCTCCTATACACATTTACTAAAAATCAGTAGAAGAAAAACTTCATAAAACTGGGATGCTTGCATGTGTGTGGATGTAGTGCAGATGATAAGAAAGAGATTATTGCTGATGTTATGAATGAAAAGGAGTTGGATGTCCTGGCCCTAAGCAAAATAAAGCTGAAGGGTGTAGGCAGGTTTCAGTGGGGAGAAATAAATGGGATTCAGTCAGGAGTAGCTAGAGTGTTAGAGCTAAGGAAAGGGTAACAATAATGTTGAAGGACCAGTTATGGAAAGAGAAGAGGGAATATAAATGTGCAAATTCAAGGACTATGTGGATTAAAATAAGAGTCAGATATGAAAAGTGGGTCAAAATAAGCGTGTATGCACCTGGAGAAGAGAGAGAGATAGAGATATTGAGAGAGAGTGAGAGATATTGAGAGAGTGAGAGATATTGAGAGTGAGTGAGAGATATTGAGAGAGAGTGAGAGATATTGAGAGATTGAGATTGATTTTGGGAGATGTTAAGCAAATGTATAGGAACCTTTGAATCAAGTGAGAGAGTAATTGTGGTAGGGGACCTAAATGCTAAAGTAGGAGAAACATTTAGAGAGGGTGTGGTAGGTAGGTTTGGGGTGCCAGGTGCAAATGATAATGGGAGCCTTTGATTGAACTTTGTATAGAAAGGGGTTTAGCTATAAGTAATACGTATTTTAAGAAAAAGAGGATAAATAAGTATACAAGATATGATGTAGGGCGTAATGACAGTAGTTTGTTGGACTATGTATTGGTAGATAAAAGACTGTTTAGTAGACTTCATGTTTATAGAGGGGCCACAGATATATCAGATCACTTTCTAGTTGTAGCTACAATGAGAGTAAAAGGTAGATGGGATACAAAGAAAATAGAAGCAGCATGTAAGAGAGAGGTGAAGGTGTATAAACTAAATGAGGAGGCATTTAGGGTAAGATATAAACAACTATTCAAGGATAGATGGGCTAGTGAGAGATAGGCAATGGGGTCGAAGATGTATGGGGTAGGTTTAAGAATGTAGTGTTAGTGTTCAGCAGAAGTTTGTGGTTACAGGAAAGTGGGTGCGGGAGGGAAGAAGAGCGATTGGTGGAATGATGATGTAAAGAGAGTAGTAAGGGAGAAAGTTAGCATACGAGAGGTTTCTACAAAGTAGAAGTGATACAAGGAGGGAAGAGTATATGGAGAGAAAAAGAGACGTTAGGAGAGTGGTGAAGCAGTGTCAAAAGTGAGCAAATGAGAGAATGGTGAGATGTTATCAACAAATTTTGTTGAAAATAAGAAAGTTTTGTAGTGAGATTAATAAGTTGAGGAAGCCTAGGGAACAAATGAATTTGACAGTTAAAAATGGGAGAGGAGAGTTATTAAATGAAGAGTTAGAGGTATCGGGAAGATGGACCGAATATTTTGAGGAATTCTTAAATGTTGATGAAGATAGGGAAGTTGTGATTTTGTGTATACGGCAAGGAGGAATAACATCTTGTAGGAGTGAGGAAGAGCCAGTTGTGAGTGGGGGGAAATTCGTGAGGCAGTGGGTAAAATGAAAGGGGGTAAGGCAGCTGGGATTGATGGGATAACGATAGAAATGTTAAAAGCAGGAGGGGATATAGTTTTGGAGTGGTTAGTGCTATTATTTAATAAATGTATGGAAGAGGGTAAGGTACCTAGGGATTGGCAGAGAGCATGCATAGTTCCTTTGTATAAAGGCAAAGGGGATAAAAGAGAGTGCAAAAATTATAGGGAATACGTCTGTTGAGTATACCTGGTAAAGTGTATGATAGTGTTATTATTGAAAGAATTAAGAGTAAGACAGAGAGTAGGATAGCAGATGAACAAAGAGGCTTTAGGAAAGGTAGGGGTGTGTACAAAAAAGTGTTTACAGTGAAACATATAGGTGAACAGTATTTAGATAAGGGTAAAGAGATTTTTGTGGCATTCATGGATAAAGAAAAGGCATATGACAGGGTGGATAGGGGGGCAATGTGGCAGATGTTGCAGGTGTATGGTATAGGAGGTAGGTTACTGAAAGCATTGAAGAGTTCTTACAAGGATAGCGAGGCTCAGGTTAGAGTATGTAGGAGAGAGGGAGATTATTTCCCAGTAAAAGTAGGCCTTAGACAAGGATATGTGATGTCACTGTGGTTGTTCAATATATTTATAGATGGGATTGTAAGAGAGGTGAATGCTAGGGTCTTGGCAAGAGGTGTGGAGTTAAAAGATAAAGAATCAAACACAAAGTGGGAGTTGTCACAGTTGCTCTTTGCTGATGACACTGTGCTTTTGGGAGATTCTGAAGAGAAGTTGCAGAGGTTGGTGGATGAATTTGATAGGGTATGTAAAAGATGAAAATTAAAAGTGAATATAGGAAAGAGTAAGGTTATGAGGATAAGATGGTGACGAAAGACTGGATATCAGATTGGAGAGAGAGAGAGGGTATGGAGGAGGTGAATGTATTAAGATATTTAGGAGTGGACGTGCCAGCAGATGGGTCTGTGAAGGATGAGGTGAATCACAGAATTGATGAGGGGAAAAGGGTGAGTGGTGCACTTAGGAATCTGTGGAGACGAAGAACTTTGTGGAAGCAAGAAGGGGATTGTGTAATAGTATAGTTGTACTAACACTCTTGTATGGGTGTGAAGCATTGGTGATGAATGTTGCAACGAGAAGAAGGCTGGAGGCAGTGGAGATGTCATGTCTGAGGGCAATGTGTGGTGTGAATATAATGCAGAGAATTTGTAGTTCAAAAGTATTATCCAGAGGGCTGAGAAGGGGTTGTTGAGGTTGTTCGGACATGTAGAGAGAATGGAACAAAACAGAATTACTTTGAGAGTATATAAATCTGTAGTGGAGGGAAGGCGGGATAGGGTTCGACCTAGGAAGGGTTGGAGGGGGAGGTAAAGGTGGTTTTGTGTGCAGGGATTGGACTTCAGAAAAAGCGTGATGAGGTATTTGATAGGTGTGAATGGAGACAAATGGTTTTTAATACTTGCGTGCTGTTGGAGTGTGACAAAGTAACATTTATAAGGATTCAGGAAACGGCAGGCGGATTTGATCCTTGATATGGAAGTACAGTGTCTACACTCTGAAGGAGGGGTGTTAATGTTGCAGTTTTTAAACTGTAATGTAAAGCACCCCTCTGCAAGACGTGATGGGTGAATGATGAAAGTTTTCTTTTACGGCCACCCGGGCCTTGATGGGAAATTTGGCCGATGTGTTAATAATTATAAAAAAATATTATTAATTATTATTATTATTATAAAGTCAAGCTAGAGATATTTATCTTATAGTCTTGATTTTAAATTTAATCTTGCAAAAGCTACTTTCCTCTTTTCCCAAATATTTTCAAGGATTTATTAAAATCGAAGCTTTGAAACTTTTTTTTTTTTTTTATTATAGGTTTTGTATTGTTATTCCGACTAGAATAAACGCTATTGCCAGATTACAATTTCTTTAGTTATATCAGTGGGGCAAACTTGCTGCTCTGTGTATTTTCTGATGCTTTTATCCTCATCTCACGTGGCATATTTGGGAAGGTAATTCTCGCTTTATTTTACACATACAGTAATACTAAAGAGTATCTTAGCCATCTCAGGGGACTATTACACTACCTGAACCTTGGTGGGGCTTGTGGTTTTCCTCTCTAATACCTAATCACGCCTGGGTACACTATCACAAATTGTACATGTTACAGCCAGAATTAGTGAAGTTGGTGATCTCTGTCCCCCTAATAGAAAATTTTCCTTTTCTGTATTACTGCTGTACAGTATAATATTTCTAAACCACTGCAGAATATCTGTTACTTCAAATGAAAAAAAAATATATTTCAAAATACTGTACAGTAAAATGAAGCATAAGTCAAAACTTTTTTTTATATATAGATTTTACTATATAATTCAGATACCAGTGATGAAGAAGTTCAGGAAGAAGTAACACATCCCAGACAACTAAGGTCAAGCAGAAGTAGAAGTATTGATATGGCTAAGGTCAATGGTTCACTAATTACTAGAACTGTCACTTCTTGTAAGTACAGTAGTGAAGTTCCTTTTAAGTTTAGCTACTGAATGATTAGCATAACATTGTATATTGTGTATTTTCTCATGTTAAAGAAAAATACCTATATGAATGACAGTTTTTACAAATATATTATTTTAATTAGGATTTCAATGTTCTGTAGCATATACAACTACAAGAACCCTCCACCGTGGCTTGGATACAGAAAGTGATGTTGATGATGGCACAGAATCCACAGTACCCTTGCGTGCCACACCACTAACAGCCAGAAGTGGTACTCCTCTTAGCCGTGCTGGCACTCCCATCCATAGACCTCATTCAAAATCAACGTTGTTAAGAGATGCTTCTAAAGGAGGTTACACGTTAGCTAAAGGAGCCATTGCAGAAGATCTGGAAGAGGAGGAGAGACCTGAAAGTAAGACAACATTATATTGTTTGTATATTAAAAGTTTTCTGTTCTTTCAAAATTAATGAATGGATTTTATTATAACACTTAAGAGTAAGGAGTAATAATCTCGGAAAATCTTGCATTCAGTGATCACAGCACTGTTACTTTAAGTTCATTCAAGCCTCAAAATTGCTGGTAATGCTTGAAATCCCTTAAACTGTGCTCCTTGGAACACAGGCACAAAAGATTGTAATATTAACCTCAAAAATTCTGGAAGGACTGGTCAGAAATCTGCACACCGAAATTACTCCTTATTAACCCTTTCATTGTCCAGACCACCGCTCTGAAAATTGTCCAGTGTCCAAGAATTTTCCAAACAAAGATGTTTTTGTTTTTTTCCCCTCATGAAATGGTAGAGAATCTTTTTCTGAAGGTAATAAAACAAAAAGTATGAAAATTGATGGAAAATTGATGAAATTAAGCTTTCGCAATTTTTGCTGTGTCAGCAATATTTACGCATTGGCAGTTTTGCCCACTTTTAGAGTCCTATTTTAGGAGAATTACATTGTTCCAATTGACCAAATTCTTAGCTATTTCACTAGTATGTCTTCTATTTTATTGATTGAGCACAAGAAACTGCCCAGTCACCTATTTCAACTACCCAATAAAGTGATCAGAAATTGGTAATTTGGCCAATTTTACACAAATTTCAAAATATTGCAGTTTCAAAATAGGGTCCAGAATGAACAGTGCAGGTATTCCTGGCACTAAAATAACATTTCCTCTGTTAGTTATGCTCCCAGACTTTACATATGAATTCCATTTTGATTTTTTATTCACACAAAGAATAGAAGATTTACTGTAAGGCAATACAGTGGACCCCCGACATTCGATGCATTTTAACGTAAAAATTTCGCCTCGACATTCGATGGAAAACCCGACATTCGATGCGATTCGTCGCGTTTCGTACGAGACGTGTCCACGTGTGGCCTGAACTGCACCGTGTGTGCCAGTTTTACAAGCCAGCCAGTGTGTGTGCGCATCTAAGGATACATTCGGTACATTCCATATTATCACTCTTTTTGGTGCTTGTTTCTGCAAAATAAGTAACCATGGGCCCCTAGAAAGCTTCTAGTGCCAAGCCTTCGAGAAAAAAGGCGCTAATGACTATTGAAATTGAAAGAAAGAGAATAATTGCAAAGTACGGAAAGTGGAGTGCGTCCCTTGTGTCGGGCTGGCCAGGTTTGTATAGTCAACCCCAATCAACCGCCCTTACTAGAGTGAGCAGGGAAAATGGCAAATCAAGGAAGTGTTGTTGCAAAAGTTGCCAACTTTGTATTTTTGAAACAGATCGACTAGTGTAGAAATGTTGAGAGATGTTATTGGTGTGGATAAAATGCAAAAAAACAGATAGCAGGAGGATAGCATCTCTCAAGCGATCATTTGTTTAAAAGGTTAGGCAGTTTGCTGCATGATGATTTGGTTTAAAGAAATTGCCTGCATCTAGTGCTGATGTGAGTGACTTTAAGGCCAGCAAAGGTTGGTTTGAAAGATTTAAGAATCATAGTGGCATACATCGTGTGATAAAGGCATGGTGAGGCTGCCAGTTCGGACCACAAAGCGGCTGAAAAATTTGTGCATGAATTCAAGGAGTACATAGAGGCTGAAGGATTGAAACTTGTTTAAGTTTATTGCATTAAACTTAATATTTCGTGTGGTAAATTTTTTTTTTTCATACCTTTGGGTGTCTTGCGCGGATTAATTTGATTTCCATTATTTCTTATGGGGAAAATTAATTCGACTTTCGATATTTTCGACATTTGATAGCTCTCAGGAATGGATTAGTATCGAATATCGAGGGTCCACTGTATTGTAATAAATGTATAAATAATATCAGCACATTCGTGACCATGTAGACCACAAAATGACCCAAGAATACTAAGAATGTAACCCAAATCTTGACAAAATAGAAGATCTAAGGAAGACAGCCGTGCTAACCCGAACACTGCCTCCGCTGCCAGACAATCATTTAACCCAAGCTCAGGGAAATCAAGCCTTCTCCTCCATAGCTACACAGTATCTAATTTAGTGATACTATGAAAGGATATCGCAGAAGAAACAACAGCAGTAAGAAAAGAATAACACCAAGGACCCTAGAACTTGTCTTGTCTACCCAGCAGGACACCGGTGTATCATCAACCCCCCTCACCACCACCACCCAGAGAATAACAACAACAAACATGGCTGACTCCCCCTCCAACTCCACTCCCTTCAAAGGATTCACCCATGATAACTCAGGTATGATAATTCCTGACAATATCAGGGACTACATCGTTGCTCTAGAAAACGAAATCAAAGATATTAAAGCAACACTTGCACGACGAGAATCCAAGATAATCAACCTCAAGAACAAGATCCAAAACCTTGAAGAGAAGATTACCTCGGGAAGTGCTGACACAGAAAATACTCTGAAAACAGCAATAGCCAGTCACACTGAGCAAGTAACAACTCGAAATATGAAGGTTGAAGAAGCAGTCAAGGACTGGAATCAGAACATGCACACTCGACTGAATGAATACCTTGATTTCCAAGACAACAAAACTGAACAAGATAAGTTGTCTGATGCAGTTATAATAAACGGTCCACACATTCCTAGTGACAACCCATGAACAGTGCAAAGAAACTGCTATCAGGATAATACAGGACCATGTACAGTTATCGTGCAAAACAATGAAATCAAAGAAACACGTTTGTTAGGAAAACAAGGTAGTAAACACAGTATCATGATCAGACTTCATTCATATGATAAAAGAAAGGACTTGATTAAATCAGTAATTACAATGAAAAATGGAGTGTACATCAAGTGTCTAACGAGAAAACGTCAAAACCTTCTGTTCAGGTTGAGAAAACTTACAGGAAAACAAAATACATCAGTGTTTCACTCGAGATGGGAAAATACTAATTAGAAAAACTTCAACAGGACAACAATACACCATCTCAAATGAACATGATTTCTCTACCTTCCTTAGAAAAGCTAACATTTCTGTAACAGGTTAGATAAGTGTCCTTAACACATACATACGTGTGGTGCATATAGTGTACGTTAATATATTATTGTACATATATATTATTTACTATTACATTATTTTCATTATTATTTTTTCTTTTACTAGCTAATACCACCTACCTCAAATACTTTTTACTTTTTAATTGCTTTTATTGCTCATAATTTTGTGTTGCAAGACAAATCTTACTCCAATTTAATGTTATTCATGGTTGCTACCTGTCCATTTAATTCAGCTTACCACTGCTATTTTAATCCCCTTTATATTGTGTGAGCAATTAGTGTATATTCCAATTACGTTATTGTGTGAGTCCCAAAACTATCTTTATCTAGCTAGCACCAGCTACCTCATATTTCTCTACTTTTTATAGTGCAGTTAATTGCTCAACTTATTATACATTACAAATCAGATCTTACTCCCAAATCAATATTATATCATAGTGATTATCTGTCCATTGAACTTTGTTTACCATTACATAATTTAGTCCCTTATATATTTTCTCCCTTATTTTTGCTTTAAATAACTACCTCAGTTCATATATTCACAATTGTTAAAATAATCAAAGTGCTATTCTCAGGGGCTAAAGTGTAATAAGTTCACTATTTTGCCATTAAAATACTCCAGGTGCTGTAGACTACCTCAGTTGCTACTGATTTTACTTTTAGTACATTCTTTTACTGTTATATCCATTAGCTCCTTTATTTTAACTGTAAATATCTACTGTAGTTCATAAACTCGCTTGTTAAAATAATTAAGGTTCTATTAGATACTTCAGTGTATAACTGAATTTTCAATTTTGTAATAATCCCTTTTTCTTTCAAATTTTTACAAGTTTTAGATTAATCACGGTGTCTTAGTCATAAGTCAAGTTGTAGATTCAATATAAATCTTATATCATTTTACTCAGAAAATCTAGTTTATAAAATTACTCTCATCCTATGATTACAGGCATAGATCCTGATGTAAACTTTTCATAAAATGAATTACATGAATTAACCAGTAACTGTAATTACTACACCGCAGACCACGCAAAGACATTACTCAGTGCAAACAATAACATAACCATCTTTAACTACAATGTCAGATTCTTGAGCAAACATTATGATGACCTCACAGCATTACTCAGTTCCCTTAATTCCAATATATCAATCATCACACTCACAGAGACCTGGCTTAAGCCTGATATTACAGATTTCTGTACCATTCCTGGCTACATGGCCATACAGAACTATAGAACAGACCAGCAACGGGGAGGAACAGCTATATACTATTCAAATCAACTCGAATGTATCAATAAATCTTGCACAAGGGATGAACATGGAGAATATATCAAGCCAAATTTAAATCAAAAGACCTGCAAAAACCCCTCAGTTATAAACATCTACAGAGTACCACAGTCAAACATTTATCACTTAAGTGAAAAACTAGGAAACATGATTACTGATGCACACATGAATAAGGACCACCTACTACTAACAGGTGATTTCAACAAACATACTACACGACCAGGACCCACAAGTAACCGAATTCACAAACACAATGAGTAACTGCCTGTTGCTACCAGCAATATCTAAACCTACAAGAATCTCCGAGACAAGCATCTCCTTAATAGACCACATCTGAACAAACACCATATCCCCTTTAAAATCAGGCATAATCATGGACAACACTACAGACCATTACCCAACCTTTCTCATAACTAATCTGGGCAAACTACCACAAGACATTAGTAAAGTAACCTTCAGACTACATAACGAGACAGCAGTTAACAACTTTATAGCAGCTATGAATAACATCGATTGGCAAAATGAGCTTGAAACATATACAGATATGAATGAATGTATAAATAATTTTCTAATAAAAGCCCAATGCCTCTACAACAGACATTGCCCCAGAAAAGCTAAACAGATCACAGCAAAGAGACTGAATAATCCCTGGCTAACACCAAGCATCCTCAAATCCATTAACACAAAGCACAAATATGAAAAACAGTATAGAATGGGTCAAATGACTAGAGAACAGTCGAGAAATTACTCGTCAGCACTTACCAGCCTGATAAGAAGGTCAAAAAAATTGTATTATGAAAATAGATTACATAACATCAAAGGTGATATGAAAAAAACCTGGAAAGCTCTATCTGAAATTCTTGGAACTAAAAAGTTATCCAAAAACAAAGCAATCAAACTAACAAAATCAGATAAACCCCTACTCACTCCAACCGAAACATCAAACAGACTTAAATGTTTTCTTCTCCACCATAGGAAAAAATTTAGCAAACAAAATACCAAGCACAAATGCCCATCCATCAGACTACCTCATAGGAACCTACCCAAATACGCTATTCCTAGCTCCAACCAACCCCACTGAAGTTATGCTGATCATAAACACCCTTAAAAACAAGGCAGGAGACATCAACAACTTGCCTGCTTTTATGTACAAAAAAGCTTCTCAAGTATTGTCACCAATTATTGCAACGCTCTTTAACAAATCCATTGAATCATCTACCTTCCCAACAATCCTCAAAATAGCGAGGGTCACTCCGATCCATAAAGGAGGTGACCAAGCTGACTTGAATAACTATTGACCAATATCTAAATTACCACTGCTCTCTAAAATCTTTGAAAAATTAATTCATAGATGGATCTATTCCTACCTCGTTTCACACAACATATTAAACCCTTGTCAGTTTGGATTCAGGAATAATAAAAGCACAAATGACACTATCATACACAGGTTAGAACTAATATATACCGCACTTGAAAAGAAAGAAGTCCCGCTGGGCATTTTCATTGATTTACGTAAAGCTTTCGATACAGTCGACCATGAACTACTGTACTCCAAATTAATGCACTATGGTATCAGAGGCCACTTCCTCAACTACCTAAAGTCATACCTTAGTAACAGAACTCAATATGTGTATGCAAATGATGCAAACTCCACCCAACCAATCACAGTAGGAGTCCCACAAGGAAGCAACCTTGTACCACTCCTCTTTCTCATCTACATCAATGATCTACCGAATGAATCACAGCTACTCAAACCCATATTATTTGCAGATGACACTACATATGTATTTTCCCACCCAAACGCAGTCATACTAGCAAACACAGTCAATGCTGAATTACAGAAAATATCTGCCTGGATGATGACTAACAAACTTACCTTGAACACTGATAAAACCTATTTCATTCAGTTTGGAAACAAAGCTGCAAATGATCCAGTTAACATTACGCTAAATGGATCATCAGTCACAAGACTCAGATGGAAAATTCCTAGGTATCCACCTTGACAGTAGCCTTAAGCTCCAGACACACATACAACAAATCACCAAGAACATCTCCAAGACTGTAGGCATACTATCAAAGATAAGGTACTATGTTCCACAATCAGCCCTCCTGGCACTGTAACATTCACTCATATACCCTTATCTTACATATGGAATTTGTGCATGGGGATCAACAACATCCAATCACCTAAAATCCCTAATAACCCAGCAAAAGGAAGCAGTAAGAATGATAACAAATTCCCACTCCCGCCAGCATACTCCACCAGTTTTCAAAAGTCTGAATCTGCTTACCATTAAGAACATCCATACTTACTAATGTGCCTACTACATACACAGAACAATACACGCAAATATAAACCCCCACTCAAACTTTTCCTCGCCAACCTAAACAGGACACATGACCACAACACAAGACACAGATCTCTTTTTGATATACCTCGTGTCCATATCACACTGTGTAAAAACTCTGTGCACATAAAGGGCCCCAAAATATGGAATTCATTACCAGAAGATATTAAAGTAACCCAGTCTGAAAATCAATTTAAGACTCTTCTCAAAAGCCACTTAATCACCCTAGACTAAATGCTAAATACTCAGTACACATTTACTCACCTATGTACTCCCACATCATAACTGAAACAATCACATTGAACCTTTTATCCATTGTTGACAGAAATGTAATTGAATCATTGTTTTTCACAAAAGCATTTTAGAATATAAATACGTATATCTTTGTATTATACAAATTTTGATTAATTTATAATTAATATTCTACTGTACAACTATGAAATAATTACTTTCCTACTGTACAACTATGATATACTATTTCTTAGTTTAAGTAGAATGTAAGCCAATAATAATGCCAAGGCATAATAGAGGATCTCTTTGCATTGCATCCCACTATTGTATATATACAATCTCAATGTACTCTTTGCAAAGACATTAAATAAATAAATAAATATTAGACCCAGTAGTTGTACATGTATTGGACGAGTGACGTGATTTTTTTTTACTCTTGAATATCGGCAAAAATCGAACATTTCCACTACTTTGAGTTCAGTGTCAAGTTATTTTGTCCTGAAACCAATCAAAAATCATCTCTTAATTTCTGTAATATATTTTCCATTCTATCAAATGAGACCAAAAAACTGAGAATACAACCAAAAAAAACATACGAAAATACACCCCACAGTCACTGTTTTAAACCAAAAACACTGTTGCATTTTTTTTCTCATTATGCACTGCATGTTCAAGGATTTTTTTTTATATGATGCACACTTATCACATAGACCCATTCTCTCATATCTAGGCTCAGATTTACTGCTCACAGATCTGAGTGAGCCGAGCTCATAGCGTAGTACTACGGCATCAACAGTAACCTCAAAGCCGTAGTACTATGGCATGGACAATGAAAGGGCTAAAGCAAGAGGCTCAGCAGATAGTGCAAAACTCTGTATAAACACAGGGTGCAGTGAGGACAGTGTGAGATATATCACTCACCCTTCATATGAAACATTATAATAGTGTATATGAACATGATTGAGCAAATGCAGATTGCATAGGTGTGGGGAAGGGAAGGTTGTAACCTTCCCCAACAATGAGGAGGGGTGAGCTATGTGTATTATCGCTTATGAAGACATTGCAAATGTTATAGCACTGAAGGTATGTATGTTTTGAATAGTTTTTGCTTCACACAATGTAGCATTGTTAAATGGTTTTTAGGTTTAGTTTGATTTTCTAGAGTAACCTGTAATTGAAGTAAGGTAACTCCTGAGGAACATTCTTCTAAAGTAGAATTTTAAAGTTAAGTGAACTAACTAAGATGAGGCTTATGTAGTGTTGGAGTTAATTTACCGAGGTCTGATGTGAATCTCTGCCATGGATGTTTGGACAGTTGTTAAACTATAAGAGAAAATCTTGCACTGCATGTTCTGCATTGATTGAGTTCTTAGTACATATATCAGAGAGGTAGTGAAAGAAAAAGGGAAGGCAAATTGCTTATACTTTATAACATGTATTTCATTTTAGAAATGGAGGGTGCAAGCTTGTGAAAGACAGTGAAAACAGATCACATTGCAAAACATTCCTGGCACTGAAAGTCTGTAACGTGATGAGCTGTTAGTTCATCCAAACTATCCTCTTACTCTTCTTAAAATACCTAAGAATGTTTGTTTATACTGTACTATACTGCACAGTAATATACCAATGAGAAACATTGACTTGTTTATTTTTCACGTGTATAGCAACATCATGGAACCTTTTATATGGAGGCATGGGATGGTGTGATTGACTTAAATTTGTGGAAATACTATTTTTATTTTACAGTTTTAATTTTTTTTTTTTTTGTCTAGGCTAATAATAATCTAATAATTTGTTGCAGATGTATTATCAGTTTGGACCAAAAAGACCTGGCAGAGCTTAACTAGAGTCACTACAATAATTGTCACATCTGTTTTTATGATGGCTGCCACAGCAGTAGCTGGAGCTACTGCTAATAAAGTGTGTGATTTATCAACTTCAGAAAAATCCTCAAAATATTCTTTTCTATCAACAATGAACACCTCTAGGCGGAAGATTATGACAGTATTGACGGAATACTTTGAATCAACTAGGAATTATTTGAGAAAGAATCCAGTTCTGCTGTGGATTCCTCTCTTTCTATTGTTCCTACTGTTGGCAATAGTTGGTAAGTGTTCCATGAATTAAGAACAGAATACTTTTTTCAGTAGTCCTAAATCATATATTGTGTATGAATAGTGTGTATATACAAATTTAAGATATGACTGTTTTTAGAGATTTGTAAACTTGCTAAGGTTGCTGTATACTGCACATTGTGCAGTACTTTAGTTGCAGTAAATAAGGTAAATACGTAAAGTTGTTTTTTTTTTTTTTTTTTTTTCTTAACAAGTCGGCCATCTCCCACAGAGGCAGGGTGACCCAAAAAGAAAATACTTTCATCATCGCTTAACACTTTCACCTCACTCACACAATCACTGTTTTTGCAGGGGTGCTCAGAACACGACAGTTTCGACAGTTTCGAAGCATATATGTATAACGATACACAACATGTCCCTCCGAACGGCCAATATCCCAAACCCCTCCTTTAACCCTTTGACTGTTTCAGGCCCCTCTCTGAAACTGTATGGTTTATTTGCAATCGTGTCATTACGATTTCTTAAGTCAAACTGTCATTCTATGTCGCCAAATATTCAAAAAAAAAAAATTATTTTTTCTTATGAAAATGTTAAGATTATTTTTCTGAGTGTTTTAGTCCAAAAAAAAAATTTTTGCCATCGGTACTTACTGAGATATAGAGCCGTGAAGTTTGCAGAAAATGAGCCGCGTATGGCAACAGCGGCGACTGCCGCTCAACTGGTAAACTTTAGTTTACTTGTATTTGAGGTTTTTTGTTTTTTTACTATTTTTTTTTTCAATAACTTATGTGGGCCCATGAGACCAAAATATGGTGCAATGTACATATATACACTGTTGTATACAAAAACAAAACACACAAAATAATTACAATTTTTGTTTACAAAATTGTTTTACAAAAACAAAAAATACTCCCCCTCCCTCCTCCTCCCCTCCTCCCCCTCCCCCTCCTCCTTCCTTCCTCCTCCTCTCCCTCCCCCCCCCCCCCCCCCCCTCCCCCTTTCCCCCTCCTCCTCCTCCAAAATTTCTCCTTCTCCTTCCCTTTCCCCCTTCCCTTTCCCCTTCTCCTCCCCTTGCTGTGGCGAGTGTGTGGCTTAAATGTTTTGAGCAAAGTGGGCAGCTGTAAAAGGAATATTTCTCATTACCACACCCCCAAACCCCCTGTCAAAACAAGGGGGTCGACGCTGCTTCCCCCTCCTTTCATCTAAATTATCTTTCTCCCTCTTTCATACTTTCAATCTGCCTCTTTCTACGTCTGCCTATCTCTGTCTCACAGGTACACTAAAACAAGTATACATATGAAAATTTTCCGGGAAAACCCCAAAATCCAGAAAAGGCTATACTTCTTGAAGAGTGATAAACTAGACACAGTCTTGGGGCTCTCTCTGAGCAGAGGCTAATGGCAGACAGGGACTTGACAGACAGACAAATGACAACAAAAATTTTTGGTACCAGCAAAAACAAAGGAGGGAAAAAGGTCATGAAATTTTACCCCCCTTTACATCTAAAAGTCAGCTCTTATCGTTTATCTCCCCTTATTTTGTCACTGTCAGGGGTGGACTTTTTTTTTTTTTGCTTCAGGGAACAATTTATTACTTCTTCTTTTTCCCTCCCCTCCTTTTCTCCTTCTCCTCCTCCCCTCCTCCTCCTCTTCCCTTTTCCCTCCTCCCCTCCCCTCTTCCTTCCCTCCCCTCCTCCTCCTCTTCCTCCCCCCCCTCCCCCTCCTCCTCCTCCATTGCTTTTGGTCTCAAACCCCTAAAAATCAAAAAATTTGATCTCACTGACCTTCCATCTGTGTTAGAGCTCACTTGGAAAGAAAGGGTCCCAGATTTTGGGAATCCATATTTCTTACCACTAGACAGCTAAAAAAGGAAATAAAAGGGCATTCCCACAATGCACCACGGGGCCCCCCGATTTTTTTTATATGGTGCACACTGACCAGGGAGACCCTTCCCTAATGTGGGCCCCCCCCCCCAGCTTTCTCCGGGCTTGATTGAAGCGCAGAATTTATGCTTTAAAAATACGTCAAAAAATTGGCCGTAAAATTTATACGTGGGAAACATAAAAGGGGTTAAAAGGGGAGGCTTGTACCCCCCTTTTCGGACTCAAGTCCGGCTATATAAAAAAAAAACGGGTTTCCCCGAATCCCTTCACTAAATATTACCCTGCTCACACTCCAACCGTCGGTCCCAAATCCATTCTTCTCCATTCATCCTACTAAAAATGCTCACATGGAATTCAAGCCCCTCACCCACAAAAACCCCCTCAACCCCCTCCCCCCACCTTAAGAGGCAACACAATG